GGGGGAGGGGCAGAGGGAGAAGGAGAAGCAGACTCCCTGCTGAGCAGGGAACCTTATGTGGGGCTCAATCCCAAGACCCTGGGAACATGACCTGAGCCAAAAGCAGACGCTTAACCGGCTGAGCCACCCAGGCACCCCACTGCTTTAGTATTTTTAATTTCCAAGGGATTTTATTTGCTTTCTAAATGTTCTTTTTAAATATAACTTTCTGTTCACTTTTCATGGATTCAGCATCTTCTCTTATCTCTCAACTATCTGTGATAGTTTTCTTTTTTTTTAAATTCTTTTTTTTTTAATATTTTATTTATTTATTCATGAGGGATGGAGGGAGAGAGAGAGGGAGAGAAGCAGAGGGAGAAGCAGGCTCCCAAGGAGCAGGGAGCCCGATGCGGGACTCGATCCCAGGACCCTGGGATCATGACCCGAGCCGAAGGCAGACGCTTAACGACTGAGTCACCCAGGCGCCCTGTGATAGTTTTCTTAAAACAATTATTTTCTGCTCTCCTAATAGTCTCTGGATCCTATGTGTTGTGGGTTTTTTGTTTTGTTTTGTTTTCTTTCTGTTTGTAAGAGGCTTTCCTCAGATGCTTGGGAATTTTGGCCTGGCTTCTCATGATTAGAAGGAGGGAGGAAAATAAGTCTATGGATGGTATTTGTTGGTTTAGCATCACTGTAAGTTGGAACTTCGGGGGCCATTTGTCTGGGAACTTCCCGGACTGTGAATGTCTTTCAGATTTCCTCTTGGACTGGTCAGATTCCCCAAGGTCCTTCAGTCCCTTGCATGGAGGGTAAGGGTCTAGTTCTGGGTTTCTGGGAGCTTAGTGGGGGAGAACACCAGAGGAGGTCTCCTCATTCAGCATTCAGCATCCACCTGTTTTGGCAAAATACCCACATTCACCACTGTCCCTGGCATGTCCAGCCCTTTCCAGAATTAAACCCCAGATGTTTGCCAGAATGAGGGAGGGGCACCACTCAGTGGCTAGAGAGAAGGGGTCTAAAGATCTGTTCTTCAAAGATACCTTCAAACAGTCCTCTTTATTTTAACCTTCTTTCACCCTTAGATCTACAAGCAGCTAGTGCTGCCAGTCCCTAAGCTTTTGAGAAGGCTCTTGTATAAATGAGGGTTGGTCAGCTTTCCCCACTGTCCAGAGGAATTTGGCTGTCTGGAGTCAGCTAAGTCAAGTAATAACTGGTCTTCCTGCTTTTCAGCTTCCAGGGGTTCTTTTCTTTCCTGCTCTCCCTGTCCTTGTGGATTTAGGTCTTTATAAGATTCCCTTCCTGTGGATTTATGGGCTTCTGGAGGCAGTGTGTGCTCTGTTCATGTCTTAACCTGAAAATCTCCTCCGTATCTTTGATGGCCTCAGCGTTGTATAGATTTGCCGTAACCCATTTAACGAATCTCCTCTCGTCGAATATAGGGCTTTTCCCCACTTTTTCCTTGTCAAAAGCAAGGCTGTATCGGATGTTCTGAGAGTTAGAGCTTTGCTCATTTGAGTCTTAGGACAAACTCACTGAAGTAGATTTGCTGATGTAATTCCACGTACATCTTTCTCATTATGAGGCGTGCGTGCGTGCGTGTGGGTGTGCGTGGGTGTCTGTCTGTATGTCCGTCTGTCTCCCGGGCGCCGTAGAGGAGGCTGGCAGGAAATGAGAGAGGAGCAAGTGGGGGTGAGGTCAGAGTTAGGCTCTCCCCGACCCTGCCTCACACCGCCGCTCAGAAACCTGTAACCCCATTTCCGATCCCCCTTCTGTCTCTAACCACCCGTCACTCAAGTCTTTGAGCCTTTGACCAAAGATGGAGGATAATAGCTCCTACCCATCATAGCGTCGTTGTGCGGAATTAAAGAAGCTAATGTCTGACAAACATCCAGGGCTTTGTTCAATGGAGCAGATATGAATCGGATGCCTCTGTGTGCCTGTTCGGTTTACAGGAAAGATTGTGAAAGAGAGCTGTTCTCTTGCTTTCTGCACAGGAGAAGCAAGGTGGAAGCTTCTCCGGCGAGGGAGCGTGAGCACGACACTGCGCTCGCTGCTCGTTCAGGAACCCTTGCCGCGGGAGGACGGCTGTGCGGCGCGGGGCGGCGCTTTACTCGCTCCCGCGCGGGTTTCCCTAAGCGCCTGGGTCACTCCAGGCCCCCGGCGCGCAGCCGCGCGGGCTCCGGGGCGGAACTCGTACGCGCGGAACCTTTCTTCCCTGCCCCCCGCTGCCGCGACCCGCCCGGCGGGAAATGCGTCAAGGACCGCGCCGCCCCGCGCCGCCGCCGCTCGGCCTCGGTCGCCCCGGTAACGCGCGGCGGGCGGCAACCTCATCATGAGCGTGCGGGTGGCGCGGGCCGCGTGGGCCCGGGGTTGGGGCGCCGGCTGCCGCCGCGGCGCCGCGGACTTCCCGCTGCCCCCGCCGCGCGCCGTGGACGTGGCGGAGCTGCTGCGAGACGCCACGGCCGCGGAGGAAGGCCCGCGGGAGGTGGCGGCGCGGCGGCCGCCGGGCCAGTGCTCGGTGCTGCTCTTCCCGGGCCAGGGCAGCCAGGTGGTGGGCATGGGCCGGGGGCTGCTCCGCTACCCGCGCGTCCGCGAGCTCTACGCCGCCGCCCGCAGCGTGCTGGGCTACGACCTGCTGGAGCTGAGCCTGCACGGGCCGCAGGAGGCCCTGGACCGCACCGCGCACTGCCAGCCCGCCGTCTTCGTGGCTTCGCTGGCCGCCGTGGAGAAGCTGCATCACCTGCAGCCCGCGGTGAGGCCCGACGCCCCGCGGCCCGCCCGGGGAGGATGGGCTGTGCCCGGGCCCCCACCCGCCAGGCCCGAGTGCTCCCACGTCTGACGCATTGGGCAGAGTCTTACCGAGTTCCCACTGTTGTAGGCGCTGGGGACATGGCCCTAGGCAAGCCTGCATGTTAGGGAAGGGGGATGATGAAGAATAAATACACTGTGTAAATGACATAGTATGATAAATATGGCGTTACAGAAAGGAAAACAGAGCAGGGAAAGGGGCTGAGGAGTCAGGGCTGGACTGCGATTTTATTTATTTTGCAAAAGGTGATTATTTTTACTATTCTTTACACCCAACACGGGGCTCAAACTCACGACCCCCAGATCAAGAGTCGCATGTTCCATCTTCTGAGCCTGGGCTGCGATTTTTAAATTTCTGTTTTCTTGTGTGTGTGTTTCTTTTACTTTTTTTAAAATTTCAATTCAATTAATCAACATATAGTGTAGTATTAGTTTCTGAGGGAGAGTTCAGTGGTTCAGCAGTTGTATTTAACATCCTGTGCTCATCCCATCACGTGCTCTCCTTGATGCCCCTCGATGATTTCAAATGACCCCCTCAGTCATTTGTTAGTTACTAAATGATTTTAAAAGGATTGAACTTCGACCTTAAATGAGGGATCATGAAGAAGATGATGTGTGAGAATGTCACTTCACTTGAAGGTGTGAATTGATTGCTGTTAACATTTGATAATATCAAAACAGTAAATGGGAAGCTACTGCTTTGAACCCTGTACTCCATTCTCACAACCTCGTGAAGTAAAGACGGTTACTTTGTGGATGAGGCAAGAAGACCCAGACACATAACAGAATTAGTGAAGTGGTGGCTGTAACAGTCATGGAGCCCTTGCCCTCGGCCAGGTCTGTGCTTAAGCACTGTAGAGACATTATCTTGGTGTCATCTCAGTAACCCTGTGAGGTAGGTCCTGCCCTTACCCCATCCCACAGATGGGACAACCAAGGCTTGGAGAAGTTAGGGAACTCTCCCAAGCTAAGAATCAAATCCAGAGAGTCACTCTCTTCTCTGCGTAGCTCCCTCCGTCTCCCTCGGCCTAAGAGGCATCTCCAGGGCAGAGGCAGGAGGATGCAGAGCCCTGGGTTGGAGTCACAGCTTCACCAGAGTCAGCCAGCAGGCTTTAACTTGTCTTGCCAGCAAAGTTCCTCATCAGTAAAAGGGCTGGTTCAGGGCTTGTCAATGCCACTTCTGTGTGTACTCTTCTAGCCAGAGCATCAGGCCAGTGGCTCCTGGTTCCTTGAGCCTCTGAACACCCTGCCGGGTCTCAGTGCAGAGCCCTGGACTGAACCCCTCCTGAGACCTCGGCCTCATGTCCTGCATCTGTCACCACAGGTTATTGAGAACTGTGTTGCTGCTGCCGGATTCAGTGTGGGAGAATTTGCAGCCCTAGTATTTGCTGGAGCCATGGAATTTTCTGAAGGTACACAGGAAGGGGTTTGGTTTTGTGCTGGGGTGTTCTCTTGCTGGGCTCACTGGGGATCAAGGACACTGTCAAAAATAATTCTGGAGCCACTCGGGTGATAAAGAAGAAGCACATGGATGAGAATGACATGGGGACCCAAGGACCAGACTTCACCTTGATTCCCTTTTAATCCTGAAGGGTTCATTGGGGATTTTCTTTCTTTTTTGTAATCTCCTGAGCTCTGTTTGCTTGACTGTCCCCCGCGCTGTCCTGGGTGCTCTCAGTCCACTCCCATGGCACCCGTGCCTGTCACGTGATAGATGGCCAATAGATAGTCGTGGAATGAAAAAGAGTAAGTGTTCGATCTTGAGCATATCAGTTTCACTTAGGATTTTTGCTCATAGTGAAACCCATTAAACTATCTTGTTTATAGTTAAATATGGGCAAAGGATGTGAACAGACCTTTCTCTAAAGCAGATAAATAGAAACGGCCAACAGGCACGTGAAAAGATGTTCAAAATCACTGATCATTAAGGACTTGCAAATCAAAACCACACTGAGATACCACCTTATACCTACTAGGATGATTTCAATTAAAAATATATAATAATAAAATTTTGGAAATTAAAAATAATAAGTGTTGGCAAGAATGTGAACGAATAGGACCCTCAGACATGGCTGGTGAGAATGTAAAATGGTGCAGCCACTGTGGAAACCAGTTTGACAGTTCCTCAAGACGTTACGCATAGAATCACCATATGACCCAGTGGTTCTGCCTATAGGTATATACCTAAGAAATGAAAACCTATGTCCACGCAGGAAAACCTGTACACAAACGTTCATAATAGCATTATTCAAAATAGCCCAAAGATGGAAACAATACAAATGTCTCTCATCAAATGAGTGGATAAACAAATTGCCCTCTGTCCATGCAATGGAATATTCTTCAGCCATAACAAGGGAGAAAGTGCTGATACATGCTGCAACACAGATGAGCCTCAAAAGCCTGCTCATTGAAAGAAATGATCTCTTTTATGTGAAATGTCCAGAATATGCAAATCCAGAGACAACAGATTAGAGATTATGAGGGTGGAGGGCAGAGGAAAGGAGAAATGGGGAGTGATTACTTGGCAGATACGGGCTATTTTATGGAGGGATGGAAAGTTTTGAAACTAGAGCAAGCTGGTGGTTGCACAACATTCTGAATACAAAAGATACCACCGAACTAAACCCTTGAAACTGGTTATATTTTATGTGACTTTTACTTCAGTGTTTTAAGAAACAGCATTCTAGCACAGTTAAGGAAACGATAAAAAATGTTGCATATTCACACCTCCTAATAAGACTTTTATTTTTTTTAAGATTTTATTTATTTATTTGTCAGAGAAAGACACGGCAGGGAGGGAACACAAGCAGGGGGAGTGGGAGAGGGAGAAGCAGGCTCCCCGCCGAGCAGGGAGCCCGATGGGGGGCTCGATCCTAGGACCCTGGGATCATGACCTGGGTTGAAGGCAGACGCTTAACAACTGAGCCACCCAGGCGCCCCTATGTTTTATTTTTTTTAAAGATTTTACTTATTTGAGAGAGAGAGAACACGAGTCAGGGGAGGGGCAGAGGGACAAGCAGACTCCCTGTTGAACAAGGGAACCCGATGTGGGGCTCGATCCCGGGACCCCGTGATATGACCTGAGCCGAAGGCAGACACCTAACAACTGAGCCACCCAGGCACCCCTAATAAAACTATTTTATACACACATAGGTTTTCTGTGCACATAATTTGCAGAGTTATAGTTTATGTATATCCTGTGTTTTTTCACTTGACGTTTTGCATAGTTCTTTTAACACCTGCGTGGGAGGACTTCCGTGTGCCCTCTCCACTTTCTGTGGGTTCTTTGCTACTTCCTACCTCAGGCTCTCATTGTATTTGCTCCACAATGTGCTCCCTACCTGTGTAAGGGGCCAACAGTCCAGTACAAATGTATGTAGGTGCTGAGGGAAGGAAGATGTGCTAGGAAGGGTGCAGGGTGTGCTCCTCAGACCCTCTCTGTGGTCCCAGGAAACCCTGGACTCGTCCCTTAACCTCTCCTTGGTCCAGTCATCCCCTCCCCCAGGGAGCAGACCCAGGACCAGGATGACGGATGTCCAGTCGTCACAGGCCGTTCTTACCTCACGATCACGGGCTGCCTGCCCCAGGCACAGCCTGTCCTCTCACCTCGAACTTGAGCCGCCCTGAACCAGGAGCTCTACATTTCCCTTCATTTGTCTTGGCAGTGTCAGCTCCAGCTCCAAGTGAGGGCAGTAAAGCTTGATTTATGAGAATCCTGTTATTGAAATTCTGATGCGCAGTTGTCACAACAATCCAGGCAGATGAGATAGTATTATCCTCATTTTACTAACTGAAAATTTGAACCTGAAAGGTCATGACTTGCCCAAAACAGTATATGTAGCTCCAAGTCTGTTCCTTTGCACTTGCTCCCTGCACCAGGGTTTCTCACCAGCAGCACTGTTGATGTTTTGGACCAGATAACTTGATTTGGGTGGGGCTGTGCATTGTAGGATGTGGAGCAGCATCCCTGACTTCTGCCCACCAGATGCCAGTAACATGCGCGCGTACGCCCCCAACGCACACACTCCGCTGTTGTGACAATCACAAGTGTCCCCAGACCCTGCCCCAAGGCAAGATCACCCCTGGTTAAGAACCGCATCCTACAGCAAGCCAGCTTTAAGGCTGGGAGCTCCGTGGTTTTGTTTGTATGGTGCTAAGGACAGCACCCACCTCTCTCATGACGGTGGTGCTGTCTCTGTGTAGTAGAGATACGAAGAACTGTGGCCTTGGGGACTGCTGATAACTACCAGCGTCAGCGTCTCCAGCACGCTGGGTGAACTCGCGCTTTGTCTCGCGGGTCTGGGCTTCCCCCGCTTCATCACCTGCCCTGATTGTTCCAAATGCGCTTCTCTCTGGATAGGTTTGTATGCGGTGAAAGTCCGAGCCGAGGCCATGCAGGAAGCCTCGGAAGCTGTCCCCAGCGGGATGTTGTCTGTCCTCGGCCAGCCTCAGTCCAAGTTCACTTTCGCCTGTTTAGAAGCCCGGGAACACTGCAAGACTTTGGGCATAGAGAACCCCGTGTGTGAGGTGGCCAACTACCTCTTTCCTGATTGCAGGGTGATCTCAGGACACCTGGAGGTTGGTACTGATGGGAACAGCCTTCCTAGACCCCAGCCCATACAGAAGGTTAGAATTGTCCCGCCCACAGTAGGGAGCCCATGAGGGTGTGATGGGTGTTCTGCCAAGCCATGGTCTCTGGGAAGTATCTGAGGGCAAGCAGGGGCGGGGGGGCAGAGTGACAGGGTGGCAGGGGGGAGGTGGCGTGAGCACTGCAGAGGGAGGCAAGAGGCTGGGATGCTGTCCCCACTCCACCATGCATAGACGAGGACCTTGAGCAAATCACCTAGCCCACCTAGGTAAAGGGGTTGGACCAGATGATCCCCAGGGCCTTCCTGTAGTAAGTTCTGGGGTTCTCACCTCTGATCTGGTTGCTTCCTTCGCGAGAGGAGAAGCCATTCCTGGTAGGTTACTCTGCCCCACTGTACCTTTCAGGTATCGTTTTTATTGAGCCCAAGTTCATTTTCTTTCCTTCCTTCTGTCCTTCCTTCCATTCACTGCTTCCCTAGACATTTCTCAAGCAGCTCCTCTGTAACAGGCCCTGAGGGTAGGTACCTGGACTGATAAGCTGGGAACGGGTGACTGTGGGTTTAGGGCACAGTAAGGGTCAGGCTGGCTGCCCGGAGGCCTGAGGAGGTGACACCAGGAGCGGTGCATGGAGGGTACATTTGCCGGGAAGAGGGGAGGCAGGGAGGCAGGGAGGCAGCGAGCAGCCGACGGCAAAGTGCAGCTGGGCACTGAGGGCCTGGCCCCGGGTTGCTGAGTCCACGCCGGATCCCGCACAAGGGGCTGCAGCTGCAGGGCCAGTGTCTACACAGCTCGTGTCATGTAGACCTTGCAGCCAGCTTGTGTTCCCCAGAAGGGAGTCCTCTGTGTGCTTAACACACGAGGAAGCTGAGGCAGAGGGAGAGGCCAGTGCTTAGAGATGGTGGAGGCAGAACGGAGTGCCAGTCTGTCTCATTCTGGAACCTTCTTCCTCCACTCGACTGCACTCAGTCTGCCATCCCCTGAGAGGCCTTGCCGATATGCCAGGAGTCTGTCCATCTCCTCGGAACCAGCGAGAGTCTCTCCTGTGACAGTTCTGAGGGCATAGGAGGATGGGTGACAGTGGCCCCACGTGGATCGTGGAACTGGTTGCTCGTTCCCATTAACAGCCTTGGAACGGCCCCGAAGTGGGTGGGGAGGGGCCCCAAACCAGGGCTGGCATCTCCTTGCGCAGCTCCCAGACATTTGGGTACATGGGATGACAACTCCTCGGATTCCCAGCGTTAGCCTTTTGGTGCCAAAGCAAAGAGCTCAGGTGAAGGCAGGGCTTTCCTGAGCAGTAGAGTCCCTTTACAACCACTGATTGGTAAAAACCCCTTGACCTCTGCCTCCTGGGCCCTGAGGCTATGGCCTTGACTCCTGTGGCCCCAGCCTGGGATGCGACCTGGATGAGTCCAGAGGCCTTATGTGGAAAGCACTGTGAGATGCTGAAATGAGTAGCCATCCATGCAGACACCACTGACCAGACAGCCCAGGCACGGCGGGAAGGACCCAAAAGGCCGGTGTTCAGAGGGGCTACTGGGTGCCCCTCAGCAAGATGGGGCTGGAGGACGGGTGGCGGTGATGTGAAGCGTCAGGATAGGCTGGACCCTGCTGCAGTGACAGGCAGCCTGGCCCCTCAGTGCTTCCCACAGCTGGGGTCCCACTTCCGTTGCGGTTTGCTTCGCTGTGCTGAGCTCGGCCGCACTGGGCTCTGGCCGGCGCTCAGGCCGCTGTAGCAGCCTATGTGGGACGCCGACAGCCTCCCGGCCTGGGACAGTGACACGCGGTGAGCCACAGGCTGCGCTGGCCTCTGCAGGGAGGGGCCCACAGAGACGGGTCACCAAGTGCCGTCCAACCAAAAATACGAATCCTTCCTACCCTCCGGGGGCACAAAGAGCCATCCTGTTACCTAGTTTTTTCCAGTGTACATGGATGGGCTCGGCAGGCAAGACAGTTGCTGACGGTCACATAGCACTTATGTGCCAAGCAGAGTTCTCCTGGATGGCCCGTGGGTTGGCCAGTGTGGTCCCCCTTTTATAGATGAGGGAACTGAGGGACAGAGAGGTAAGGCAAAATCACCCAAGGTCAGGCAGCTGCAGGGCTCACCTTCTGTCTTCCAGGGAACAGCTGGCCCAGCCTCCGTGCACCTGTGGATGGTGGCAGGATGGTGGCAGGCCAGAGACGGGGCCAGAGAGACTGGTGACAGTTTAGCACACAGGAAACCCTTCGGCAGAGCCCAGGGGAGGACCATCAGGGTGGCAGGCCCCGGACTGTGTCCTAAGGGCCTAGGGTCTCTTAAGAATATCTACTGTTTTTAAATTATTTGCAAATTATGTAGTTTGCAAACAGCTCCAAGTTTGGGCCTGTTAGCCTGGGAGGCCCCTTCTAAGCTGAGACGCCCTTCAAGGGAAGGCTTTTGGCTTCAGGGAGACAGAGCTCTTTTCTCAAGAGAAAGCTCAAGATGATGGGGTTCCGATAGAAATGAGGAGGGCGCCTGGGTGGCTCAGATGGTTAAGCGTCTGCCTTCGGCTCAGGTCATGATCCCAGGGTCCTGGGATCGAGTCCCGCATCGGGCTCCCTGCTCCTTGGGAGCCTGCTTCTCCCTCTGCTTCTCTCGCTTTCTCTCTCCATCTCTCTCTCCCTCTGTCTCTCATGAATACATAAACAAACTCTTTAAAAAAAAAAAAGAAAGAAAGAAATGAGGATTGGAGCCTCCGGAATTTTTATCTTTTTTTTTTTTTTAAGGTTTTAATTTATTTGACAGAGACACAGCGAGAGAGGGAACACAAGCAGGGGGAGTGGGAGAGGGAGAAGCAGGCTTCCCATCGAGCAGGGAGCCCGATGCGGGGCTCAATCCCAGGACCCTGGGATCATGACCTGAGCCGAAGGCAGACGCTTAACGACTGAGCCACCCAGGCGCCTCTGGAAGTTTTATCTTGAGGGCTATGGAGTAATAAGAAGACAGGCTTATTAAAAATTGTGAAGGGTAGGGCGCCTGGGTGGCTCAGTTGGTTGAGCGACTGCCTTCGGCTCAGGTCATGGTCCTGGAGTCCCGGGATCGAGTCCCGCACCGGGCTCCCTGCTCGGCGGGGAGTCTGCTTCTCCCTCTGACCCTCCCCCCTCTCATGTGCTCTCTCTCTTTCTCACTCTCTCAAAAATAAATAAATAAATCTTAAAAAAAAAAAATTGTGAAGGGTAGCCAGCTTATAATTGCAAACTCACACTAGGTAGGGCGTTCTCATGTTGTCAGACCCTTTCACACCTCCTGTCTGATCGCTTCCCAGCAACCTTGTGAAGCAGCTGAAATTGTGCTGTGTGGATGACAGAAGTTGAGAGGTTGAATGATCTGCCCAGCGCCCCCAGGACAGTGAATGAGGCGCTGGGGTGGACCACGTTCCCCAGCCTCGATCTCTTTCAGCCCCACCGTGGCCGCCTGCCCAGGAGGGCTGTGTGAGTGGTCGCAGCCCCAGAGGAGGCCTTCTGGGTCACCGTGTACACGACCGATCTGTACTGGAACAAAGAGGTGAAGGGAGCCTGTCCTCACAACTGTCTGCAGGATGAAGCATGCCGATGTGCCAGTGGGGGCCGCCTCGCCGTGTTTCTTCCCCTAAGATGTCCTTGGCTTAAACTTCCTTCCTTTTTCATCCAGGCGCTGCAGTTCCTCCAGAAGAATTCCTCCAAGTATCACTTCAGACGCACCAAGATGCTGCCCGTTAGCGGGGGGTTCCATACCCGCCTCATGGAGCCAGCCTTGGAGCCCCTGGCACAAGTTCTAAAGTCGATTGGTGTCAAGAAGCCTCTGGTTTCCGTCCACTCGAACGTCGATGGGAACAGATACATGCATCCCAAACACGTCCAGAAACTGCTGGTGCGGCAGGTGGTCTCCCCGGTGAAGTGGGAGCAGACGATGCATGCCATATACGAGAGGAAGAAAGGCACGGAGTTCCCCCAGACTTTTGAAGTGGGCCCTGGGAATCAGCTGGGGACCATCCTGAAGAGCTGTAACCTGCAGGCTTGGAAGTCCTACAGGCCCGTGGAGGTGCTGGAGGACGGGACCTAGACCAGGCCCCCCGGCGGATCTCCTGGTGCCCGGGGCGGCGGGGGCGCAGCTTAGGAGGGAGAAGGGGACCCAGGAGGGGCTGCAGCGGGCCTGGACCTGCTGCCCTGCCTGTCCCCTGGCTTCCTCCTCCGAGTGATTGGGAGGCAGTGTTTGCAAAGTGGTTTGAAGGCCACATAAAAAGCACTGAAAGTGAGTTATTTCTTTACCTGCCAAGGTCCGTTTCTCGCCCCCCTCGCCCCCAGGCCTGTTCCAAGGCTGGGGGGAAAGCTGCAGCCAGGCCAGAAGAGTCTGCCTGGAGGCAGACCTCACACCCCTGGGCTCCGGTGGCTCCTCTGTGGGCTGGGAAGGCTTGGCCCGTGGCCTGTCACTCCACCCACAGCCAAACCTCAGCCCTTTCATCACGGAAAGCAAAGGGCTTTCAAGACACCACAGGCCGGGGCAGCCACCCTGTCCACCCCTCTCTCCGTAGTTGGGAGACTCGGTCCCACATTTGTTTATCTACCCAACAGGTGGTATTGAGCACCTGCTGTCTACCTGTAAGCAAGTGGCCTCTGCCCTGGTGGGGAAGAGTCGGTAGAGTCGGTAGCCAGGCGGGAAGGGTCTGGGGAGGCTGGCTGAGGGCCCCGTTTCCTCCCCCGCCCCCAGGCGTCCCTGCAGACAGTGATCCCCAGGTGTCTACTCTGTGGCCGTGACCTCCCGTGGCACAGGCCACCCCCCCTAGCGCTTCTCTGCCCTCTCCACACCGTAGCAAAGCGCAGCCTCTCGGTGGACGCTGCTCCTGCACTGATACTAAACAGGAGTCATTCTAAGCTCCTCGGTGGCTTTTTCCTTCATCAGTGATAGTGGGAAACCCACTCAGGTACGGGATCTCTGCATTTGTCTGTAATTGTCTGTGTAGACACCCCCCAAATCCCGGGTAGGTTTCTCATTTTTAATTCCGCAGGGTTTCTCAGCAGGGGCCCTGTCCGCCTCTGGGCAGAACTGGCTCATGATGTGAGCCGCTGTCCTGGCTCCCAGCCACTCGGTGCCAGTGACCCTTCCAGATGTCGTGACCCCCGCACATGCCCACGTGTGTCCGCAGCACCGGCGGCGAGCCCCTGTGAATAGGACCACGGAACCCGATCTTCCCCACAGCCTGAGTCTGAGTGTTCTCTGGAGTTCAGTGACGATCTCTCACAACTCCCATTTTAGGGCGCCTGGTGGCTCAGTCGTTAAGCGACTGCCTTCGGCTCAGGTCATGATCCTGGAGTCCCGGGATCGAGTCCCGCATCGGGCTCCCCGCTCAGTGGGAAGCCTGCTTCTCCCTCTGACCCTCTTCCCTCTCGCGCTCTCATTCTCTCTCTCTCTCTCAAATAAATAAATAAAATCTTAAAAAATAAAAACAAAAAAAACCTCCCATCTTAGAAATTTTCAAATGTTCACAAAGAACCTTGCTGTTATTTTTGGTGGGCAGCAAAGCAAAGTTTATGGAGCAATAGTACAAAGCTCCCAAAGAGGGAGGGGACCCAAGAGGGTTGCCCGAAACTTGCTATTATTTTTAAAGAGCGTGGAGTCTGTCTGAACCCTCCCCCGAGCACCGTGGCAGTGGCCGCCCTGGGAGACTCTCCAGGCCAGGCCTGCGTTCTCTGGCTGTGCTGCGGGCAGGATGGTGTGGCACTTACACTCGGCTCTGAGGAGCACAGTCCCACATAAGGGAGCTGGAGAAGCGGCGGAGGGGAAGTGTTCCCGCATGGCAGGCCTCCCTGCTTCTCTGGGCACAGCCCTTTTCCTCAGGATCCAGCCAGACTCCAAGCCACAGGAGGGAGAAGGAACAGCAATCAAAGGGCATATGGTGCTGCCTTAAGGAAGGTTCCAGAAAGCTGGCAAAGTCTCTGGCTACACTGCAGGGGCTGCCCAGTAGGGGGAACCCAAAGGTGCGGGCAGGCAGTGCTCACCTCCACGACGGGAGCCCTGGGCTGGGTGGATGCGCCCTTGCCCCGCCCCCGCCCCTGCAGACTTTTGAGTCTGGATCAGTGACAGCAGCATAGGGTGGGGAGGGGAGTCTGGGGGCGGGGGGCGGGGGGCGCGGAGCGCAGGGTCTGGGGTGAGAGCCTGAGGGGCTGTGGTGGATCCTACATCCTGCTTCTTGGCAGGATCTGGGCGAGTGTGTGCCCCCTTAAGAATACCCCACACCATCGTTGGCCCCATGGAGCTGGCCGGCCCCGAGGTAGGCACACCTGCCACCACGTTTGCGTCCCATGCCCGTGGAGACCCTGGGCCTGTTTCTCGTTTCTCTTTCCAGCAGCTTGCCTCCCTCGGTCCGCCTGGAATTGGGCGCTGCTTCCCTGCCTGGCAGGAACGGGCTTCCCTGGGCACGTTCTAAGAGAATCAGATCTTGCAGCCCCAGAAATCTTGACGGGACCAAGGGCCTTGACCAAAAGCCTCAGAAACAGCAAAGATGACGGAGCCCCTCACACCCCCGCAGCCTTGTCACCTCCTCTGGGCAGGTGCTTCACTGTTTGCAGTGGCCTCCACCCCAGGCCCCCCATGGAATAGGGGTCTGTGTCCACCCCGTGGCAGTGGCCCTGGGACCCGCTGCAGAGGTGCACCAGGAGATGGGAGCATTGTGGGGCGATTCTCTAGGGATCATGAGGCCGCTGGGTAAGCACGTTACCCCTGCTTCCCTTCCTAGTAGGGCTAGGCCTCCAGTCCTCCCTTTTTGGGGTTGGACAGTGATTTCTGGTATCACTGTTGCTAAGCATCTGTTTGCAACTTGTGGAAGTTGCCCCGCAGATCAGCCAGACTGGGTTTGACCATGACCCCTTCCCCATCTGGGCCTCAGCGTCTCACCACCCCCTGCAGGCTGGACTAAGATGGCATCAGTGGGCAAAGACCCCGATCTGGTTGGGATCAGAGGATCCCGGTGCCACCCTGGTCAAGCCCCTTCCTTCTCTGGGCCTCGGGTTCCCACTTGTAGGCTGGGCTGTCTTGAGCAGACGAGTGAAATGCCGGCTCCAGATGCAGCCGCATCCACCTCGTGTGGGGGCGCAGAAGCTGTGGCACGCTCCTCACGGCCCCAGGGTTGGCATGAACTGACGAGACAGCAAGTCAGACACTGGCCCAAGCCACCCCAGGGCCTTTGTATGTGCTGCTCCCCCTCGCTGGGTGACGCCTTCGTTTTCTCCACAGCCGGCGTGTTCCAGGTCTCATCCACCCCCCAGCCCCATTTTCTCAGCCCTTTATTGCCCTTAGAACACAGCCCCCAATCCTTAGCGTCTTTGTGTGCTTGTTAAAGAGTATGTGTGATTTGAGGGACCATGTCTTCACCCCAACCCCAGAACCCGTGCCCAAGCCTAGCGCAGTAGGGGTTCCGCTGACACCCATGGGTGGGAAGAATGTTGCAAACCCTAGAACACCTGGGGAGGGGGTCCCCAAATTCCTGCAGGGAGGAGCCACTGCATCGGCTGCACCTGGGGGCTCCACAAACAGCCATTTGCACTCCCTCCTCTCTCTGAAGAAGCCCAAGCTCCCCAGGAAGCTACAGGCAGCCCTGGCCACATGGAACACCTCAGGTGGGTACATGGCTGGGTGGGCAGTTTTGTCCCAAGAGCTTAGGAGCAAGCTGGTGCTAGGTGAACAGGGAGAACTCCCTAAAGAGGTGCCTCGGGGTTTGGCCTCGCCACATCCCTAGTTAACGGATTCTCCAGTGGGGCCCCGGGGCCCCGGGGCCCCGGGGTCAATGCAGCCACATAGGGAAAGCCCTGGGTCACTTCCGGGTCTATAAACTTGGTGGGTATCTGTCCAGGGGTGGAGTGTCCTTTGGGTGGAGCAGGATGTCAGGATGGAACATTCCCAGCAAGGACCTGGGAACCGGCAGACTCTGGGCTTGCCTGTGAGGTTTTGGGAGGGGCTGGCACAGCCCCAAGGGACCATTTACAGGAAAGGAGGCGGGAAGCCAGGCTGTGAAGGGCCAGACCCTCGAGAGCTGTGACACAGAAAGCCCAGTGGTGGCTGGGAGGGTCCCTTCAGTCATGAGGGTCGGAGGGGGCAGCTGGGAGTGGGTAAAGAAGGCTCTCCAAATCCAGGACCTGAAGGGGACAGAAGAGGAGGCTGCAGAAGATGGGGGGCTCACCCCAGCCCAGGGTTGGCATTTGAGATAGGGGGGACTGTGGAGCGGGGGGGGGGGGGCGGGAGGGGGGGGGGGAGTCAGAGCGCAAGTTCTGGAGAGAGCACCTAACACAGTCTAGAAACAGCACTAGGCCCAGGTCTGCGGCAGGCTGAGCCCACATGGTGGGTGCCCCTCGTCCAGCCCCTTCTCCCCAGCACACCTATGTGAGTAGCCCCACAGGCTGCACTGCTCCGGCAGGGAGCGCTGGATGAGCCAATGTGGGGAGGGCAGGCAGCCCAATTTTAAGAGGCTGACAGCCCAAAGGAAATAATCCCTAATGGTAGATTTCAGGCACCGGGCATGACAAGAGCAGGAGTAAACCTGATTGTGTTGGGCCAAACTTCATGACAGCAGGTGCAGGAAAGAGCCTGCAGGTGTGTGGTCACGCACAGGTGGCTAGGCCCACACCCCGCCCTTACTCTCTCCTCCCCCGATTCTCCCACCAGGGGCAAGATGGAGCCCACACGGCAAACCCCCAGAGAGGACCAGAGACCAGCTGGAAACCAACATTTTATTGAGCTCTCCTCACCCCTCAGAATCTCTTCCAGCAGATTCTCTTTGTCCCGGGCATCACAGACATGGGGGTGTGGCCAGCACTCCCCCCCCCACCCCGCAGGACCCCCCCACCTTCCGGCGACAGGCCCCGGCACGGTGGGTTGGGGCCAGGAGAGCAGGCCCACGGGCAGTTAACCAGTAACGACCCCAGAGGTATAATGAATTCATTTCTCTTACAAAAAGGAAAAGAAAAAAACTAGTATGAAACCTCAGTAGTGTCCCAGCACTCAGAGTTTAAATATAAAAAAGGGATCATCAGAAAACAGTTAAAAAGACAACAAAACCAACAAGGCCACCTCCAGGGTGGCAGTCGGGGGGGGGAGGGGCCAGCCCCCACCCCCACCCCCACAGCGGCTGCGTCACTGGAGCTGGGGCCCCCAGCCTAGCAGCAGCACCAGCAGCAGCAGCAGGGACAGCACCAGCCCGCGCCCTGGGTTGGGGGGCACCTGTGGGACAAAGGGGGGGGACAGGTGAGGCCCTCCAGCCAGGCG